TCTCTTTTTGGCTGCGGCTACGTAGTCTTCATTGCTCAAATTGGGTAGCAAAAAGAGGTTAAGGTTAACTGTTGTATCGGCTTTACAGAGCCTGTACTTCGACGCCTCCAACCCAAGAATCCTGCCTCCAAGGAGCCAGGGTTCGTGGATGGAGGCCCCACGAGCTCCACTCTCGGCGAGGTGGAGAAGTAGGGAAGCTGAAGCCGCCTTACTTAGCTTTATCTGAAAGATTGTCAGTGATTCTCATAAAGATTGTCTGTGGAAAGTCTCTGTGGAGCTTTATGTGAAAGATTGTCAGAGATTCTCCACCACAGTAACCTCTGCTTCCGTCTCGGAGGTCAGCAGAGAGTCCTCCTACATCCCGACGCCTCTAAGTGCCCTTGCCAAGTCACTCTCCTCTGAGGTTGGACGGCTGCAACTGGACCTTCTTTTTCTTCGCTTGGGGCGCTCATCCTTCTGTAGACCTCTACCTTTCTGCACTCTGTGCGATCTTCTTGGTACAGCCTACTCCAGCCTGTTTCTTCGGCTCTAGCCTCACTCCCGCCTTTGCCGGTTGAAATCCCACCTTATGATCTCGGCCTGGTCAGGGCTGGCTTCTGCCGATGATTCCGCCCTTATGAGGATGCAGGCTGCTCTTTTTTTGTCTTTATAGGAGCTTTTCAGCTACGTCGAGTGAGCACTACTGAACCAGGGCTTGCCTTAGGGGCCCCACCGGTTGGTTTAGAGGTTGACCCTGGGGTTTCCACGCCGTTCGGTGGTCTCATGGCTTGCCCCGCTTTAGAAGAAGATGCCTTGGCATCCCCCCCCGCACCGGCGCATCCCGACTCCGGATGTTGCCCCTCTTTAGGAAGCTTCTTCATCTCAGCAAGTCCATTACTTTTGAGGTTCTTGGAGTTTGACGGGTTATTTTAAGTCAGAAGAGTTAAAAGAATCTTAAAGCGGTTTGGAGTCAAGCATGTACGCACAGCAAGTTATTCAGCGCAAGCTAACGCAAGTAAACGTGTGAATTAATACTGGCAGCAATAAGGCCGTATATGTATTTAAAACGATCATACAAAGTAGGATTGAAACAACAGGAGTGCAGGCTTTTTGCCGTATTTTCTATGTTTTGGTCAAAATATGATTGTAGATGGACGAGATTATGAGTTCATTCGCTCTATTTACTTAAAAGAAGAAGTTATGCACTTACCTTTACGCAAAGCAATGTGGCGAAGAAGTAAGCAGAAGAAGTAAGCTAGCTCGAGTATTAATCAAAGCAAAGATCAAGAGGAAGATAAGCCCGATTTATTGCAAATTAGTTAACGAAATGGAAACCCTAGGCGTCTACCATTTGAAAGGCATCAAAACATACCAGATAATAAAGCAGGTTAAAACCTAGATCACCCATTTTTACAGTTCCTATGAATGCATCCTATGATGAGCTTTGGTTTTATTAACTTTGATTACGGGGCCCAAGAGCAGGAAAATTCCAAAATTTATTTTGTAAAATTATTCGCCAAGAGTAAAAGGAAATGCCTTATGCGAAAGTGAAAGTAACATGTGCAAAAAAATGCAATTAACGAAAGTACAATTCTTACTTCCACTTTCTGGCATACTCAGTGCGAAAGCACTGAGAGACAGATATAGAGGAGATTAGGAAAAGTCCCGCTACTGGAAGTTTTGCAGACTCTTACGTTTGCGTAGCAATGAATATTATCTTAAAATTTGTGGTTCATTTTAAATTGCGATCGAAAGAGCATTTACGCATTCATATAAGTGATTTGTGAAAATTATATAGCAACAGCGTCCAAGCGCCAAAAAAGCTGGTGGAATTTTCTACGTCTATTGAACGAAGCTCAGAAGTAGGGAACATTAATATTGCTAAAAGGTAAATATAGTGAATAGATAATTAACAGTTCGGTGAAACATATTTGTGTTACAGAGAGGGAGTGACCTGTAGTGTGATCACCACTAGCCGGTTAGCCTCGCGCGTGTCGCGAGGCGCGTTCACGCTTTAAAGGGAAGGAGTGAGTAAAGCTCGTAGTAGAGAAGCCATATACACGTGCGAAGCTAACTTCAACATGATGAGGAAAAACTCATTAATGTGCCTGCGATACCATCATATACCACCATCATATAAATTGAAACGCGGCGCATATGCAGCACTGACCTACAGCCAAACGAATTTCCACTAGGATGACAGAAGCTTAATACGTTTTATCAATTGGAATTTAGAATTAAGGAAATAATTATTTTAAAGAGACTTTTATATGGGTTAATTTCTATTTTTATTAAACCGTTCCATGTGACTGCTCATGCACCACACAGCCACCTCATTCCTTCACTTGAAACACAACGAACCTGCATGGCCGGAAACGAGTTGAAGTCCGTAAAACAAAGTGTAAAGGTTTAGATATATGTATGTATATATTATATACATAAGAAAATGCGGCGACAACTTACATTGCAGATAGGCTAAAATAAAGTAAGATAAATTTGCGTTAGTATTTTTGTTGAGTTTTTTTTGATTCTGATTTCCAATTTTGATTTTCTGATATGGGACAAAGGCATATGAAGTGAATTTTGAATTTAAAATTAAAAAAATAATATTAATAAAAGATAATAGTATAGACGGTTATTATTTGGGTCTGTTGCTTATTGTGATGCAGGTAAAGATAGTGGCCCAAACGACAGCCCCTCAATAGCACCATATTTGCCCAATCATTAACGAGCAGTGAAGTGCACTTCAATAATTTTTAGGGCACAGTGGTGTTATTTAGGCGAGAAAGAAGAATCCTCGCCATTCCGACGTGCTTAGAACAAGGACACGCAAAAAGTGCACGCCCCCTAAATCTTCTAAACACTGTGGGTAAAGACAAGCTCTTGATCCCAGGGTAAACGCCGACAGTATTACCATTCGCAGCCAGGCTTCATTCATTAATGTGGTAAAGCGAAAGGGAGCAGCAGCGTAGGCATAGGGATGTTGTTTAAGAGTGTAGTTTTTGAGTGTCGAGTGAGAGTACACCTGTACACCCTCGCAAGTGTGATTCTTCGCCTAATCTCCAGGCTGATATATTTTGTGTGTTATAGCAGTGCCGCGATAAATAAATTTCTCGTCGGATTCAAAGCTATACTTCTTCGCAGTCAGGTGAGAATCTGGACGCCTTGATTCTCTGCTAGAGCACTCCACCAACTTTGCTTTTCCAATATTAACTGCTAGGTAGGACCTTAGCGTGACATTATGCTTGGTGTGCCCAATGATCTTAATATCATCTCAATATCAGGGAGTTGGACACAACTGTTGGTTAATATCATGCACGTTCGATGGACTAAGTCGCCCGACGGTGGCACGACAGATGTCTTCTTGTCGTATATTGGCATTAAAGTATCAGAGGAGAGCTTTCATGGAATAGGAAGGACAGAGGGCATAAGGCATAAGTTCTTTCGGTTGTTGGCCAAAATTGATACCTCGGCGCCGTAGCTTTGCGTCACCAACGAAGCCACAAAAGACTCATGCCTTTTGGATGATAGCTGTAGTAGATCTTATCCGTTGCATTTCCTGGATTGCAGTAACGTCAGCGATACATTTATTGAGGGTATGGATGGAATTCAAAGTCTCAAAGTCAGCCTGTATTTCCTTTCACTTGCACTGCGTGGATCTATTCACCTTTTGCAACAGCACCTGTACAATGTTGCAGTTGACTATCTGCTGAGTTATAACCATGCCCTTATACCCCTTATAAAAATAAATAAATAAAGTAAGATTTGGGTATAAAATTTGTCTTAAAGTTCGTGAATAAGGTTTCTATGGACCTCAGCTTCATTATTACATTTACATGATCTTGAGAGTTCAGGCGAATACTAAACCTTGTTTTAAGCAGCTCTAAGGCGATGTCGAAATTCTTGTCTGGCAGCTCCAGCGAACAAAGTTTACAAGGCCGACTCACGAAGACACGACCGCAGCCGCTGAAACTTCTCAACCCGACACTTCTCAACCATAAAGTCCGCAACGATGTCTTCCAAATCTCCAAGTTTGACGTTTAGCATTGTTTCGGGAAAAGTCTCCCCCGCTTTTAAGACGGAGAGAACACCTTAAAGATTCTCAACAGCACTTTGGCTCAGAACGAGCTTCTTTCAGAAGAGGCGGTTCAAAAAAGCGGATTCTATTTCGCAACAAAAGATATATTTTATTTGGTTTACTTATTGATGGTTCACGATAGTTTAAGTGCAACTGCTATAAAACGTATGCAATATGCGTATGTAAGTTAATAGAAAATAATATCTCGCGCACAAATCACAATTTAAATAATGTTTTTTAATGTTTTCTTCGCTGCTTAAATTTTTAATGGAAAATAATTCAATTAATTATTTATTTATGTTAGCTCACCGAGCGTTTTCGGATAGCTTTAATTAATGTTCAGAATTCTCTTTCTTAGTAGAATATAAATTCGGTTCGATTGAATGAATGAATTTATTAAATCAGATTCAAGGCTACAGAGAGATATTACGAAAAAGCGAGACAACGCTAGCTCATGAATGCCATTACTCTTTCCACAAACTTACGTAATCAAAGGCTTTTTCTATTCTCCTAGACAAATCATGTTTGTGTCTAATTTGTGTGAGGCCCCCTTCGTCTAAAAGATGGAACGTTGTGTTACTCTAGCTCTATTTGATCTAAGGATCAATTTATATGTAGAAAGATAACTAATTTTGACAATCCAGTAAGTTTAAGAGATGTTACATAATTGTTATTAAGGTTATCTTCTTGCTTGTTTCAGTGGCTCGTTCCGCAGCACTGAAAAAAACACCATAAAAGTATATATACAAATTATTTTTTTTTCATTTTAGAATAAGTTAAATTGCCAATTTTAAGAAAAAGTTTCGGTTGTATTGCTGTTTTTTCTTTTTTTCCTTTAATAAAATGATTCAAAAATTTAACACAATTTATAATATAAAGCATTTTTTTTTGTATATTAAGCATCTGTAATATTATTTTAATCGCAGTAGATCCTGACGTTAAAATCAAATCAGTAAAGGTAGACTCTTTCCTGTTATTAAAATTATTACTCCGAAAATCAAAGATTTAATGAAAAATGAACAATAAACAAGTATATGATGTGACTGACCCTAGCGTCCATGCGCTTCGAACATCAGCTTTTATGCAAAATGGTCCGGTGAAACAAGTTCGAGGCCTTGAAGATCTCGACCGTTGGGTCCGTTCTCAAGCCTATTATGATACTATTGCATATATAAGCAACACTAGCATGGCCATACAGGGTCGGCGGCTAACCCGAGACTTTCCTATATCAGAGCAAATGCGCAAATTGTGTCAAATTTTTGATGGATTAGAGCACCTTCTTGTTGAACATTCTCCAAAGTCGGAGGATTTTGATGCTTCGATTTCAATCAGTCAAATTAAAAGTCGAGCCTACCGCGTCTGGATGCGACATATGTTTCAACATGTTTTTTTTAAGCTTGATGAAGCAATCAAAGCAAAGTGCAAGCATGTAAACGAGCTAGGACAATATCTTAGGCGCTCATTTGGAAATGCAACTAGTCTTGATTTTGGTCCTGGTAATGAGCTAATGTTTCTTTTCTTTTTAAGTGGTCTATTTCGGTCGGAAATATTATTAGCCAAAGACACAGTTGCAGCGGCCTTAATGCTCTTTGGTCGCTATATACACCTTGTCCGTCGTTTGGTTACAACGTATGCACTGCCTATAGCCAAAAACCCGAGGTGTTTCATCGATGACTATTATGTTCTGCCTTATTTATGGGGAGCTGCTCAGCTGTCATCAGAAGAATCTTTTTCTCCAATACAGTGCGAGCAGCCTAAAATTATAGAGAACTACCGTCAAGATTATATGATGATGGAACTGATTGAACACCTTCAAAAGACACGTGGCGGCCAACTCAGCCATGTTGCTTTTCAACTATGGTGCATTTTGTCAATACCCAGTTGGTCGCAGGTTTACCGAGGTCTTGAGCGTAACTATATTAGTCATGTGCTTTCTTCATTTGAGACCGTGGAAAACGCTATATTTTGCGAGCTTATGTCCTTCGAAGCATTAATATCACCAAATCCATTGGCGCGTGCGTACTTGAATCCATATTATAATACTTATCAGGAAAATAAAGAACCCACGAACCAAATTGAAAATCAAGCCATTGATTTGAAATCGATTTCGCCCGTTAGCCTATACCTTAGCATGGAGCCCGACATTTTTCTGGGCTATCAAAATGCCAAGAAGCACTATAATAAAAAATCCAGTGATAGCTTGGAAAATCGGCTTTGCATGGTGAGGCAGGTCGTGGATGAAAATGATGCAAGCTCCGCTCTATTTTTTGCGGGACAAAAAAATATCCAAAATGAATCGGTTAACTCGTCGCCTAATGACCACCCGTAAAGAAATGACATCAATTCGAAGATAATTAGTATTTATACATATATTTTTTAAATAACAATTCATGTGGGCCTTACTTCTATATATTGATAAGGATATTGATCCCAACTAAATTATGAACTTTATAAACTAGTAAGGAAAATATTAACGTAGTTATATATATGTGTGATATATAATTCTATTGTATTTAATAAGAATCATGACTTATTACAATATTAAAAAGCAAGTTTATATGCATGAACAATAAAGAATTTTTAACTTAATGCAAAATAATGATTATAATATTGTAACAAACAACTAACTTTTTTCAAATTTTAAATCCATATACAATTTTATTAATGAAAATATTATTACCTGTTTTTGATAATCCAACGATTATAAAATACATAGATGTGACATATTTATACCCTTGCAAAGGGTATTATATTTTGGTCAAAAGTGTACAGCGCAGTGAAGAAGACATCTCCGACCCCAAAAATGATACAGTTGATAACGGCATGTCCGTCTTTCTGTCTGTATGTCTGTTTCTGCGCGACTAGTCTCTCAGTTTAAAAGCTATCAACCTGCAACCTAGCACACTCCCTTCTTTCTTTTGCACGCAGTATAAGAGTCGGAATGAACGCGATCGGCCGACTATTTCCTATAGCTCCCATTTAACCGATTTAAACTCGTTTTAAACTCGGTACACGTAGAGTACAAGGGTATGTTGTAGTCGTGTGAATGTGTGTAACATAGAGATAATCATCATAATCATCTAGGACCCCATAAAGAACAGATATTCTTTATCAGTATCAAGATTTGAGTCGATATAGCCATGTCCGTCTGTCCGAATGAACGCGTGGATCTCAGAGACTTTAAGAGATAGAGCTATAGGATTTGGCATGGAGAATCCTACAATGCTCACACAGTTCAAGTTTGTTTCAAAAATTTTTCACGCCCCCTCCCACCTTCACTGCGAAACTCTGTAGCACAAGGACAGAAAGACTTTTGATGCCAAATTATTTTTATAGTTAATATACCTGAAAATCTGAAAAACAAATTTCATCGAAATCGGCCGATTTTCAGAGAAGAAATACCCATATATATACAATTTCCCATACAAACGGGCTATAGTTTTGAACGCGTGGATTTCAAAGACTATAAGACAGGGGTGCCCAGCCCCATTGCTCTCGGTGCTTTTTTGTTGTTGAAATTGCTCTTTCATATGGGAAATGAAATTTCATATACGTGTTACTCACAGTATAGGCAACGGGCAATTACAAAACAATTTTTCGTGTTTTCCCTGTTCTCCTCATTCGTCTTAATTAGAACTTTTTCCCTGTTTCGTGTTTTCCCTGTTCTCCTCATTCGTTCTAATTCGAATACATTTTGTTGTTGGAGTGCCGAAAACTTTGTACTGCAAGACATTCATTCTTGTTTTTCTTTCTGCCAAAATGGTCGACTTGAAGTGATACATTTCTTCTTCGCAGAAAGTTTTTTTTAAGTGTCTGGGATCGATTGTGGATAGTTTAGTACTTAGAATTTAATATTGAAATTTGATATTTTGCCCTCATGAAGAGATTGGGCACGCTAGATAAATAACTATGGCGTGCTCGTGGTGAGTTTGTCGTCGAAAGCCATGGAGTGTGGGAGGTTATACTGCGGTAAGATATTTTTATTAGGATCATCCTTTTTTTTTTATAACTTGTACTTCCACCAGAATAAAACATACATACATGCATATACACGCATATACACTTTTGGCTTGTGTACTAAAGGCGGGTAGCCCCATCGCCGCCGTATGTTTAAGGCAACTCCCACCCGAGTGACGACAGATTTTGCGCTACCGGCACTACGGTTCCAGCACATGGTTTTGGGCTACACAATGAAGTGGTCGGCGAAACGTCGGTACGAGCGCCTTCTTCTAGAGACGGTGCTTGGGCGACGAGTATTGGAGGAAATACAAACTGGGCGCCACGAAAGCTTCCTGAGCTGCCTACGTAAGGGGGGAAGCAAGAGGATTGGTCCATCTTCTATTGCGCGTTTACGGAAACGACGCAAGCGTATGGTTGTACGGAACTGGAGAAAAACCAAAGGCTACTGAAGGCGTTAAAGGATGACGCGCGTGAGACGGTGAAATCGTTGTTGATTTACCCCAGCAATGCGAATTCAGTGATGGAGGAACTGCGTTTCAGATATGGCCGACCGGAGCAACTAATACGCAGCCAGCTAAACAGCATTCGAGATGTGCTCGCAATTACGGAAACCAATCTAGGAAAGCTCGTCGCATTCGCCACACATGTGAGTAACCTCAAGGTCTTCTTGCAGTCAGCGAAGGCAGAGCAGCATCTGGGTAACCCTACCCTGATGGAAGAGCTTGTGGCCAAGCTTCCGATAAGTAAACGAGTGGAGTAGCAAGGCACGCTGCAACTATTCAGCCCTTTCCGACTATTGTGGACTTTAGTTCGTGGTTGACGGAACTAGCGAATGTGGTCTGCATGGTGGCGGACATTGATGGAAAGGAGCCAAGGCGTCGATTGCTTTATGCTAGCATTGACCATGAGCAGGACGAGCAACAGGAGAGCTGCCTCAGGAATTGTCCAATATGTGGAGGTCTTGGACAACATGCAGTTTGGGACTGCCAACGATTTATTGGAGCCACGCCTACAGAGAGGTGGAGGCTCGCAAGAAGACATCGCTTATGTTTTATGTGCTTGGAGAAGCTACAACCGGGCCCGACAGGTAGTCGTACCGAGGGAAGCCGTCCGATTAAATGAAGGAGCAGCGTCATCCCTGGATGCTCCTGCGACGTCGGAAGAGAATTTGAGCTGTGTCGCCGAGAACGACTACTGTTCCGCGTATTGCCGGTGACGCTATACGGAGGTGGGAAGCAGGTGGATACGTACGCTCTCCTGGATGAAGGTTCTTCGGTGACGATAGTCGATAACGAGCTGGTTGCAGAGCTAGGCATGCAAGGAGTACTTCGTCAGCTGAATATTCAATGGTTCGGAGGCATGACCACAAGAGAGCCTACTAACGTGGTACGTCTGCAGATTACGTACGCCAATCCGAAATTGAGTTTGCCGATGCAGAGCCTGCACATAAGAGATGTTAGGAGCGTGAACAAGGACGCTGGATTACCGATGAAGCCCTACGAAAATGCAGTGCCGAAACTGCTTATTGGATTGTGGACCATGGGCATTTAGGATTGCCATGGAAAACGAGACGGTTTGCCAGAGAGGGACCGTACGCGGCCGCAACCGCATTAGGATGGGTCGTTTTTGGGCCTGTAGAAGGACGACGAGACACGCCATCTCCGAAGCCTTGCCTGCTAGCCACGTCGATGGATGATAATGTGAAACGGATCGTCGAGGACTACTTCGAGATCGAGAACTTCGGTGTGAAGGCAGCACCAGCGGCAGCAGCCAGCGGCGACGTGGGGGCTCAGAAGATCTTGGAGGACACTACGGTGCGAGTTGGCTGCCGATACCAGACGGCGGGATTATTGTGAAAAACGGATAACAATGTGCTGCCACGTAATTATGATATGGCGTACAATAGGTTGATCAATATCGAGAAGAAAATAAAGTGAGACTGGCAGTTCGCAATTCGGAACATTCACGGATTATGAAGGATTATGTCGTCAAGGGGTACGCTCGGCGTCTGAAACGACAGGAGAAGCTATGGGAAGCGATAGGACATGGTACTTCCCACATTTTGGAGTGGAGAATCCCAACAAGCCAGGGAAGATACGATTGGTATTCGATGCAGCGGCACGAGTTGGAGAAGTATCGCTGAATTCTGCACTGAGCAAGGGGCCGCAACACCATAAGGCCTTGGCATCTATCCTCTTCCATTTTAGGGAAGGTACAGTCGGAGTCTGCAGTGACATTAAGGAGATGTTTCACCAGGCGCTGATCCGACCCTTAGATAGATGTGCGCAACGATTTCTGTGGAGAGATGGGGATGACCATCGGGACCCCGACGTTTATGAGATGTGCGTGATGACGTTTGGAGCTGCATGTTCACCGAGTGCGGGGCATCAAGTGAGGACAGTGAATTCCAAGCGATTCCTGGATTCGGATCCCAGAGCAGTCAAGGCCATCGTGGACTACCACTACGTGGATGACTACGTGGACAGCTTTGCCACAGAGAACGAAGCTATCGAAGTATCTACTAGAGTGAAGGAGATTCATGCAGAAGGCGGTTTTGAGCTTTGCAAGTTTTCGTCCAGTTCGCCTACAGTAGAGAGAATGCTCGGACCCAGTGATCACGCCCAGAGTATTGGATGGGGTGAGGCCGAGCAAAAGATTTTGAGAATGCGGTGGCAGCCAGACACGGACGACTTCAGGATTCGAGTGAAGAACCACAATGTTGCCACATCGTGTCCGATGGGAAGAGAATTGCCACAAAAAGGGAATTCTTGAGTATGGTCATGGCAACGTTTGACCCCTTGGGATTTCTATGTTGCCTGATGGTAACAGCAAAGTTATTGTTGCGAGAGGTCTGAAGAAGGAGGATCCCATGGATCCATGGGACGAGACACTACCGGCTGAGATGTACAACGCCTTTATGGATTGGCGTAAGGATATGAATAAAGTGGAAAATTTTCGGAGCCCACATCACTATGCACGTGTTTGTGGATGCGAGTCAGTCGGCATTCGCGGCAGTGGTCTACTGGAGGATCACGTATGAGGACGGCGACGTGCAAGTGAGGTTCGTGTGCGCAAAGACGAAGTGTGCACCTATGCGAACGATGACGATTTCACGGTTGGAGCTGCAGGCAGCAGTTCTAGGAACGAGATTGATGGACACAGTCAGGCAGGACCATAGTGTGCCCATTGCAAAGATTGTGCTATGGACGGACTCAAAGACAGTGCTGCGTTGGATTGGCAGCACGCACAGGCCCTACAAGCAGTTCGTAGGGAACAGAGTAGCAGAGATTCTGGAGTCAACGAAGGTGGCCCAATGAAGATGGCTACCGTCCGCCGACAACGTGGCGGATGATGCGACTCGGGCGCAACGCAGCGTAGACCTGAGCGAGGAATCACGCTGGTTAAAAAGACCGGAATTCCTGAGGAGATCAGCGGGCAGCTGGCCGGCAACTGCACCTGCCGGCGAAGCGGATGCAGAAGATGAAGAGGAGATGCCGAGTGAGTTTGTGCTCGTTGGCACGAGTGACACGTTTATATCGTTAAAGAGATTCTCAAGCTACAGGCGATTGTTGAGGACTACG